GTTTATATCTTGCTTCCACCATATATGTGTATTGGAGAGACAACATCTGCTGGAAACAAAGTCCTTGTGTGTGTAGGGGTCACCTCGAGTCAAATTATCAAGGAACTATCTTAAATATGATAAATGATGACGTGGATAGGTCCTCGGTGCGAGGCTGATAGCGAGCTATATCCACCCTGAAGGTTAATCTTGGACAATATCTGATGATCGACTCTTTTAAATGAAACCAGAGAGCGTTGACAGAGAGGAGAAGGTAGAAATGACTCAGCCTGGAACTGAAAATATGGATGGAGGACAACAGAGCTGCTTCATGGAAGAAGAACCACAGCTTAGCCTGTTAGCCTTTGTGCTAGCGCTGACGCTATATTGCCTTATATGTATTAACTCGGTGCTAGCGCAACAAAATAAACTAAAATGAGGTCCTCCATCCATATTTTCAGTTCCAGGCTGAGTCATTTCTACCTTCTCCTCTCTGTCAACGCTCTCTGGTTTCATTTAAAAGAGTCGATCATCAGATATTGTCCAAGATTAACCTTCAGGGTGGATATAGCTCGCTAGCAGCCTCGCACCAAGGACCTATCCACGTCATCATTTACCCAGAATGCTTTGTGTGGAAATAAAATGGCTCCGTCCGTACAGCCTACAGTATCTTTACAGTCTTTATTTTACAGTTAAATGTTTATCAAATAAAGTCTAATGTTACAACTAATCGGGGATCCCTTTAAATGTTTAAATTGGTTAACTTTAGCAAACAGCTTCAATTGAAATAAAATTGTTGCTTAAAGCTAAGATTAGATGAGTTAAAAACTAAGTTGCAAAACCATTTCAAAAACTGGAAAATATTTCATGAAGCTAAAACTGCCTAAACCAACTAAAAGTTTTAATTAACAAAAGGAAAAAGTTTTATAAAAACTTAATGCAGCTGTACCATAGCTTAAAGCTAAGAACAAAACAACATTTAAAAGTTAAATGTAGCAAAAATAAATTAGCATAGTAGCTAAAATTGTATAACACCGGTCTCCTAAATGAGCTAAATGTTTGATTTAAAAATGGCTGAAGTTGCTGAAAGAAGAAACTCTAAACAGGAAACCATCAGACTCAGAGTTGGATCAGAACCTTAAAACCAGGAACAGAACCTCCTGGAAAAAGAACGGCTCCTGCTTGGACTTCAGGCTCTGATCTGGCTTCAGCTCTTCATGACTCAGCTAAAATCTTTTTTCATTTCCTCCTTCACTCGGACAGAAAACAAGGAAAGTTTAGTTTTTTTCTGACCAGCTGTTTCTGAAACACTTAACTGGTCGTGATGGATATATGTTAGTTTCCCAGCTTCTTCCGAGCCAATCTGTTCACTTTATTGCTACAAAAAGCGCTTGCTACGATTCTCGTGTAGCTTTATAATCCAGGTTTTGTAAATAAGGAGCGCTGACTCGACAGTTTAGATGTGACGAGTGTGTCTCGTCACGCAGCTCAGCGCTGTAATCTCAAAACTGCAGCCCTGATCTCACAAATAACAAACAAAAAGCTGCTCCTCCTTCACACAGTCATGTCTCTGTGTCTTACACTCACATGAAGAGGCTGCTTTTCCTGCAGCAGCACAAGGTTACATTCTGACCTTTGCTCATAAATAAAATCAGACACTCTGAGCTTCACGCTTCATCTTTTATCACTTTATTATATTTTATTTCTCTCCGTTAAGAGTACCGCCACTTAACTGAAATGTTTAGGTCCTCCTTAAACAAACTTTAATTCATCGGTCACGTTTCTAAGGGATGTTTGTGGTGGTTGTTGTCAGGAAAACAGGGCGAGGCGGATTTCTAAACCGTTTGTCAAACTGCAGGTTTTAGGTTAATCTGCTCCAACACACCTGATTCAGATAATTAGATCACCTGCCCCGCCCGTTAGCATCAGGTGTGTTGAAGCAGTAGAGAGGTTCAGTGCAGCATGATGTATGATTTATGGGGTTTTGTGATTTATAAATCCTCTAGAACGGACTTTGAGTACAAATTAAAAAATACAATAATAGGCTTTTGTTTAACATTAAAGTGCCTGTGACATGAAATTTTTAAAAAATAAATATAAAGGCATTATATTGCAAAAATAATTTCCCACTGCTGAGACGAACAGTTGTTGAGATATTTGCATGTGAAGGAACAGGAAGTGATGTCAAAGGGGAATGCCTGCTCGGAACAAAGCATTGATAAAATAGCTAACGACACAGACTAGAAAAGAATCTGATGTTTCTTTAGATTATTTTAATCTCTATCACTAGCTGCGTTTCCATTGACCATGAAAATGTGCAAATTAGCATTTAGAAAATAAATTTGCTCAATGGAAACACGTCAATTTCGAAAGAAATTATGTTTTTCGACAAAATGTTTTTGCGCTAGGATGAGGTGCTTTTTCGGCCGTATCGAAATTGTTTTTTTTTTTTTTTTGCAAAACTGCAATGGAAACACTTTTCGCATCATGGGAGTCATGTGATCAACAACCGGCTGTTTCTACTGGTGAAAAAGTTGAAGAAGATAACAGGAAGTAGAAGTAGTAGTAATATCACAGAAGTAGTATAAAATAGTAAACTCACTGACTACAATTTGCCAAAAACACAGCATACGTAGTCGCTCCCAAGTAGGGACTTGTCTCTGGAAAGCCTCGATAAAAGACGCCGACGTCTCCTCTGATG